ATTGTCTTGCCATATTTTGTGGTCAGTTATTCATAATTCTGCCTTCTATGTGGTATTTATTCAATTATAATTACTATTATTTAAAGATGTGGCCAACAAAGAATGGTGGGTGTAGCTAAAGTTCAAATGCGGTTGGAATGGCAATTAAGGTTTATATATATATAATTTAAAATTCATTCTTCGACATTCAACAAAATGGGGTCAACGAAATTAGGTTTTCATTATGCATGTAACTAAAGTTGGTTGGTGTTTTATATTCATCCTTATAATATTCTGATCGTAGCTGTTTTCTAGAGTAATAATGATATTGTTAATTGAGTGTTTTATTAGAACTTAAATTTCCTTAAAAAAAGAACTAAAGTGGAAAGAATTTACTTATTTGTTTTGTCTAATCTAATTGACACAGACATTGAAGCTGCAGTCTCAGATTGTATTCTTATAGTAGTAAACCAAGATACATTTTTACCTAAAAATTATGTCAATAAATATGTTTATTGTTGATTTAAGTATTCAAGAGTTTTGATTATTTTGGTAAAATTAAAGTGACACATATCATGCTTGATTTTAGGATTATGTTCTCAATGTTCATGAAATTTATCATTCATTGTGTATCTTGTCCAATTAATGATGCACAATTTTTACATATTTGATGATATTATGCCCCTGTTTGGTATAAATTAAAATCTAGATTTTAATTTAAGTTAAAGTTAACAATTTATTTTAACCATATATTTTATGGGTCATATAACTTTTCAACTATATATTTTATTAACTTATATCAAAATCTACCAAAAATCTAATTTTAATCCCAACAGAGGCTATAAATATTTTGGATTGGACCACTTGTCGTGTAGTCTACTAAAGGCTATATAAATATTTTATATTGATAATCAATAACATATGCACTACCTTAAAATAGATAATTAGCTCGTGCATGTATTTGGGTTCTTCATTTACTTTCAATCTTATCTAGGTCTAACATATGTGTCTCTCGCAGTACAACTCGATTGGGCACTTAGTCCCATTTAGGAGTGTCAACATGTCGAAACCAGATTTGGATTCGGCTTTTTGTTGGCTGGTTGCAGCATCTGCTGGTTCAATACAGTTTGTTTTATTCTCTGCATAAAGAATTTCCCAAGTAATCAACCACTTGCTCTTTCTCTCACAGTCAGTTTCAATGGCTTGAGTGCTGCCTTTTACAACCTTGCAGCAAAATCACTTAACCCTTCATCAACCACATTATATCTTCTTCTCAACGCTTTGATTCCACTCTTGACATCTGTAGCGGCCCTTTTCCCGATCCTTTTGCAACCCCCAGTGGATGTTCTTTCGTCTGATGCTGTTCAACGCGATCAATTTATATTCATCACTTTAAATTTGTGGGCTGTTGTGACCGGATTCTACCTTCTCTTCCTCCATTATTTAAATGGAGCAACAACTCGTCTCCTCTTTGCCGGTGCCATTTTTCTACTTGTTCTCCCTTTTGGTATCCCCAGTGTTATCTATGCTCGAGATTGGTTCCATCGCACAATTTACTCGAGCTTCCAACTTCCAAGCTCGGGTTTTATCCTTGTTGATGCCGATGATCTTGAATTACATAAAGAGCTCCTGAGTCAAGAGAATAATGTAGACGATAGTACAGTTCGTATAGTATCTAGACAAAACACGGGAACTAGTGAAGGGTGTTCCTATGAGACTGTAATGAAGATGGATTGTCTGACGGTGCTCGGGGAAGATCATAAGGCGCCAATCCTCCTTCGTAGGGTTGATTTTTGGCTGTACTATCTTGCTTATCTCTGTGGAGGCACAATTGGGCTAGTGTACAGTAATAATCTCGGGCAGATAGCTCAATCACTTGGATATTATTCAATGACTTCAAGGCTCATTACAACGTATTCTTCGTTCTCTTTCTTCGGGCGCTTGCTTTCAGCTGCACCAGACTTCATTCGAACGTAAGTGAACAGACTGAAACTATATTTCATATTGACCTTAAATTTCCAGGGTGAATTGCTAGTTTTCGGATACAAGATATCCATCCTAGTTACTATGGCTGTATTTGCCCTAACCTTTAGGCTTGTTATCTAGGAACTTGTTCAAAAATACTATAATTAAAGGAACATAGGAGTTTTCGCTAGGCATTTGACTAAAATGTGGCTTCCTGTCACAAATTATATACAAAAGAATATGAGAATATCCTCTAACCAGGAAACTAAATTGTTTATAAGTCCCGAATCCCATCCTTGAGAAAATAGGTCAACTGAAATGCTCTCGGAGTACCTGTAAAATTGATGAGGTACATGTGCAGGAAGCTATACTTTGCGAGGACCGGATGGCTAGTCATAGCCCTTCTGCCAATGCCAGTGGCCTATTTCTTGCTTACCGTGAATAGTGGGGAGGCTGCAGTTCATGTTGGCACCGCCCTAGTAGGACTAACATCGGGATTTATATTTGCTGCTGCGGTTTCAGTAACATCTGAGCTTTTCGGCCCCAATAGTGTGGGTGTCAACCACAACATTCTCATCACAAATATCCCCATCGGATCACTTGTCTATGGTGTTCTATCTGCTGTTGTTTACGATTCCCATGCCGAGTTTGGTTTAGGCCTAATGGGTGATTCATTGGTGTGTATGGGAAGAAAATGCTATGGCTTGACTTTTGTGTTGTGGGGATGCATTTCTATCCTGGGATTAGCCTCAAGTTTACTGCTATTCTTAAGAACCAGGCCTGCTTATGACAGGTTTGAACAAAAGAAAAGATCAACAATATTGTTCTAACAGGTTTGAACAAAAGAAAAGATCAACAATATTGTTCTAATGATAATATCTTACAATCGAAAAGATCAACAATATTGTACTAACGATAATATCTTACAATGTGATCACAAAATGTTTGAAATTCTTCCCTAATGAAATTGTAAAGATGAAAGCATTTACTAGATAATTTTATTGTTTTCCGGCAAATATTCTCCTTCTAGTAATATCAATTTTGTTGAAACTGCATGCGATTCTGATGAAAATTGCTGATAGATCAAGAATTCAAATGAATTAAGTATTGATCTTAATCAATTTGGAGTTGATTAGATGAATCCTTAGCAACTACATTTTTTTTAATTATCCACACTTTCTTCACCTCGAAGGGCGTAAGTAGAGTTGTCAATTAATTGGATTTTGATTCGAATTCGATTAAATTAATAAGAGATGGATATAGAGTCTCAATCCAATAATCCGATCAAGATCTAAATTTGGTAATCTGTTAACTAAATGGATCAAATATGAATATAGGTTAATCTGATTCAATAACAACTTGATCCGATTTGTCATAAATAGTTGAGTCA